AAGGAGATGCTTCTTTCCCAATTTGGCCGAATCAGGAGTCAGCTGGGAACTGAACTAATCGGGAAGTAATTCTTGTATTATTAAACCACCATGTTGTGACTTTTGGTCAAGTTTTGGCAAATCAGAATTTGACACGTTTCTGAGTTTTTACCCTCAGAAAGCCACGCCCTCCTCAGATACAAAGCTTTCTTAACACTGTGAATAAGAATCTTTCAGACTCTTATGTGAGGTGCATATTAACCTTAATAAGTATCTTATTGCAATGTGTATGAGTGTGAACAATGACTAACTTGTTAAATCAAACCCATACTGATCATAAGATCTGAAATGGAACATTTTAAGAGCAATATTCATTTCAAATTCATTGATTTAAGCACAAGTTATTCAAACATTTGATTTAAACATCTTGTTCATTCATCACATTTGATTAATTAACTCATAAGTTGGAAAGTCTTGCAGGATTCAAGTAGGTTCACTTTTTATTCAGAGTGATGAATACAGCAGCCAGGCTTTTACGCAGAAAGTGCAGGACCTTGGGACAGAGTGTTTGTCTGGATAATTTGTCTTCTGTACGTAAACACACACTGAGCAGAACCTTCTGGGTTTGGAAGGCCAAATAGAAAGTGGATTTATTTCCGTAGATGAAAGGTTACTATGTTGGTCAATATATAGGTGAAAATTGACCCTTTTGGTACGTTTCACAGTCATTGCAGCAGATTTCAATGCAAGACACCACCCATCTCCCATGCTACAGTTAGCAAACTGCTTGCTAAGTTTCGTGAAACTGGTTCAGTGTTGAATTTGCCAAAATGTGGACGCATGAAAACTGTCACTAATGAAGAAACATCAGTGGCTGTCCTAGCTTCATTCAGCAAGAGCCTACAGCATAGCACTCGCTGCATGTCACTGGAGAGTGCCATTAGTCGAACATCCCTTTGGCACCCTTACAAACTGCAGCTACTGCAGCATCTCAACGAGGATGAGCCAGATCGGTGCACAGAATTTGCAGAATGGGCAAAACAAAAATTGGAACAGGACCCTCAGTTCACGCAGAAGATTTTGTTCAGTGATGAAGCAATCTTTTATGTGAATAGTAAAGTAAACAAACAAAGCCACCACTATTGGTCTGAGACTAACCCACATTGGATAGATCCCTCCAAGACTGCTGGAACAAAAAAGTGATGGTATGGTGTGGTATTTGGGGTCCAAAGATAGAGGGGCCATTCTTCATCAATGGAAACCTCAAGGCCACTGGATATTTGAAATTGCTACATGATGATGTGTTTCCCTCTTTATGCACTGAAGCTGGCACGTTCCCTGAGTTTTTCCAGCAAGAAGGTGCACCACCACATTATGGGTGTCAGGTCCGAGCATTCCTAGATGAACAGTTTCCTGGAAAGTGGATTGGTCGTCGTGGGCCAGTTGAATGTCCCCCAAGGTCTCTCGGTCTGACCCCCCCTTAGACTTTTATCTTTTGAGTCATCTGAAGGCAATAGTCTATGGTGTGAAGATACAAGATGTGCAGCACCTGAAACTATGGATACTGAAAGCCTGTGCTGGCATTTCTCCTGCGTTGTTGCCATCAGTGTGTGAAGAGTGGGAGAAGAGGGTTGCATTGACAATCCAACACAATGGGCAGCACATTGAACACATTTTATGAGTGGTCACAAACTTGTAAATAACTCATGAAAGAATAAAGTTACGTTAAAACCAAGCAAACCATTGTTTTTCTTGTGAAATTCCCAATAAGTTAGATGTGTCACATGACCCTCTTCTTATTGAAAAATCAAAAGTTGGATCCAAGATGGCCGACTTCAAAATGGCCACCATGGTCACCACCATATAAATATATGTCGATGGTCACCACCCACCTTGAAAAAGTTTGCCCCCTTACATATACTAAAGTGCCACAAACAGGATGCTAATATCACCATTCCCATTTTATTAAGGTGTATCTATATAAATGACCCACCCTGCATTCTGTTTCCTCTGTAATTTAGTAAATGTATTCATTAATTAAAAACCTGCTTTTTATTGGTGCAATTCTCCATTCCAGTTCCCGCGTGTACCATTACATCTGGACAACACCCATATGCCGCACAAACACCAAGAGAGACTACTTCAGCTACTGCAAAACATAAATAACATTGAACTAGCACAGTCTTGTTCTTTCTTTTTTCAATTTCACGTCTTTTTAAAATAACTAGGTAATAAAAACACTATAGTTATGTACCAAAAGCTAAACTGTTGTAATGTGACACCTCTGTGTGAGAAAATAAACTTGTGACCCACACATTAATTGTATCTAGAGACATTTTCTGGAGCAAAAACATAAAAAAGAGGTCACACCAAAAAGAAATGCTGTCAAATGTCTGATGCAGTGGCTGTTGGACCACTTCCGATGTGTCAACACGACCTTTTACAGGTCTCAATCTGAAAGCTTTTGACTGAGTCTCAGAGCCATACTTTGATGAGCAGTGATGGCATAACCACAAAGGGAGTCTTTTTGTTGTGCTCAGTGTAGCTTCTGTTTTACTGAGATATACATTCTTGGCCATTTCTCTTTTGAAAATAATTTTTTTTTATCTCAAACAGACCTTTTTATGGTCTTTTTGAAAAATACAAATGATCGCATCAGCTACGATTCAAAAGTACTGTAAGTTGATGTTTTTATTAATGACATGGAATCAGTGCATTTCCTCTAAAACAGGTAAGTAACCAACCTAATCAATTTAATATTTAAAATTCCCAGAGAAGCTTGTGAATAACTAAAAATTTTTTTATTTTAACAGCTACAAATCAGCTCGACGTGTGGCTGGGATGTCGAGTTCTGATACCATGTCAACGTGTCGGCACCCGGTGGGATTCTTTTAGATGGGTTTACAAGGAGAATGAACATAGTCGTGCAGCCCAATTATACTTTCTAGATAAGACAGGATTGACACTGTATGCCTCTAACCGCAGAGCCACTGTTTCAAATGATGGCTCCTTGATCATTGATGATTTTAAGGAGAAAGATCAGGGCATGTACTGGTGTGAAAAGTGTGACAAAAACAAATGCGGAAGTGATCAGTCGGACATCTACAGAGTGCAAAAAGGTTGGAACGACTGTTCTTTTCACAAATCTATTCATTCCTTCGCATATTTCTATTTCAATTTCTGATATTTTTATTGTCCTTCTAGAAACTCTGAAAGAAATTCAAGAGACATCATACATCACTGCAGGCAGCAGCTTCATGCACACATGTCCGGGGGGTTTTCTGGAGCTAAAATGGACTTTTGAAGCAAGCAACAAAACTGCCCAAGAATCCAAACAGATTCCAGAAACAACCGTTAATGTTGTTAATGTTAAAGCTGCAGATGTTGGGAAATACACCTGCTGGGCGAGTCGCTGTGGCGGTCCGAGTCAAAAACAGCTTACTGTTAGCTTATGTGTGGTAGAAGGTAAGAAACTCACAGTAATCTGCTTCATTTGTGAAAAATAAACAAGATTTATGTTAAAATATACATATTTGTTTGTTTTGTGGCAGTAGTACACCACCGTGAGGACTCCTCTCTGTCTTGTTTCGTGACGTGTGATGTGGATTCTGAAACTAGAAAAGAGACTTCAAGGCTTCAGGTGGACAATACGATAATATCAGTGGACGTAGCTCCATCTGGGGTTTTCGTTTGTACGGCAGGTCAGATTTTGGACAATAGCACGACTGTTACCAGCACTTACACATCAGCATCAGCAGTTTTAAACACATCAGCAGGCGAGTGAATGCCGCGACCCTCTTTTTTAAATTCTAAATTAAAATTAAACAATTAAAATAAACATATTGTTGACTCTACAGGTGAATCTGAGGAGACTGAAAACACGTTTCCAGCCATTTATGGAGTATCAATCACTGCGGCATGTCTAGCTGTAACAGCACTCGTGATTTTTTGCTTCAAATCAAGACTGCAAGCAGGTAGGATTTGCAGCTGTAGGTTTTCGTTGAGACTTCCTGTTTTTTGTAATTTACATATAGATTTTAATCATGCACAGTGGTTTGCCCTTCAACCTGATTCTCTTTCTGTCTCTCCTCAGCATTTCCGTTTCACAGCTCTTGTTGCGGATTTGGCAGCAAGGTATGATGAGTATTATAAAGTGTATGTATGAAATACCACATGTGATGTTTTGCTAAGGTAATTAATGTCTTGTTTTATGCTGCAGGAAGAAGAAGAAAACCCGACTGTTATTTATTCTTCTCTTGTCATCAAGGCACCTCCCGCAAGAAGACATAGATATGCATGTGAAACTGACTGCATTTATGGTGAAATAAAAGTGTAGTAGAAACACACCTGGCAGAGATGAAAGCTAAACTGAAGAGTTAGTGATTGTAGTTTCCACACTGTCCTCTGATTTAGTGATCAATTTGTCAACAACTTCTAATATGATTGTATGTATAATTATTACTCCCACAGGGTTGTGGAGGTAAAATCTAAAATTTCTCAATTTTTGCCCAAAATAAATAAATAAATAAATAAATAAATAAATAAATAAATTTCTACATTTAAAATATATTTTATTTTATACATACTCTTCCATAATATGTTACGATATATTGCTGAAATGTGGATACATTTCTCATTTTGCAGATTTTGAATTTATGAATAAAATAATACAATTTAAATTTTAAATGTTTAAAAATTTCCAAAGACAATGAAGTGAATTTATTTTTAAGAAACTGTTCCGATATTTTAAAATGACGTTCTGAGAAAGAGTTATAAGCGATTAAAATATGATCTGATGAAGACAACTGAATAAAATCATAATAGAGAAACAGATTAGTTGTGACTGGACTGATTATTTTTTCATGATTATTTATAAACTGTTGGATCATTAATTTACTTTCTGCAGTTGCAGAATGAACTTCATTTCTATTTTTATTTCAGGAAATGTGGAATATTAATGCGAAGATCCTGTCATTTCGTTTGTGCACCGTAGTTTTTAGACATAGATGTTGTAAAACCGTCATTCTCCAGTAGGTGGCAGCAGAGTGTTATCATAGCGGTTGTAACGCGCTTCAAAAACAAGCCAAAGAAAGATGCTCTCGTATTTTTGATGCATATTGAATGTTTTGTCTAATCTCCACATGCGTGGGTGGTTTTATTTTGACTACGTTTCCTCCATTTTTTACTTGAACAGCTGGAGTGACTCATTTGTATGTTGCTGACGTAAAAACTTGGCGAACTAGCGGTTAGCTAACGCTACATGCTAACCGGAAGAGGCTTACCGGGTCTTTAACAAACCATTACGCCAACATTTATTCTGGTTTACCTTAACAGGTACGGAGTAGCATTCTGCTTTATGGCTATTTTTCATGTAAAAGTAGACTTTTTGGGGGAGTCGCAAACTGTATGAATGATTTAGCTTAGCAACATAATTTAGCCTTTTAACTATTAGCTAGCATAACGAACAAGTTAACATCATAAGTAGCTATTTACATTAAGCTCTGCATATTATCAAGTAACAGTGAGCCAGCATGCAAAGTGTTGATTAAAATAAGTTTAGAACCACCTCGACCTTTTTCTTAAAGTGAAATATTTAGCTATTTATTAGCATGTTGAGCTAAGCTTACTGACTGCTTTTCTTTTTAAATTGGGACAAAAGCAGATACCTGAGAAAAGATGGAGGCCCCTCCTGTTACCGTGATGCCTGTGACCGGTGGGACGATTAATATGATGGAATATTTGTTACAAGGTGAGTTAGTGAGATACAAAATAAAAATAGTCTCCCTGAGTGCTTTTTAAGTACACAAGAAAAATTACTTTTCAGACATTTCAACGTTTTATACAATTGTCAGTTTTGCATTAGTGGCCATATGTAGTATTTTATATCAGCTATTATGTCAACAATGAAAGATGGATGACTGTTAATGGGGAAAAATCTAAATTGAATTGAATAGGCTATTAATCCCAGGGGGGACATTCACTCTAGAGCAGAACATACGCTTAGAGAAAAGGAAGAAGAAAAAAATAAAAACAAAAGTGCAGGTACATACACAACGGCAGTAAGCTATTATTGTAACCTTCAAACCACTAAGAGCAACAAAATAAAAATACTAAATTGGGTTTCCAAAGATGTACAGCATAAGGAACACATATTTGTAGGTGATAACTAAGATTTAAAAGATCTTCTACCATAAACTGAAACTATCAGTTATTAGTCATTTTATTTTTACTAATTTGTAAAATCTCAGAATCTTGTTTCTGCTTCCATGAAAGCATAACTGTGGAAAAAGTCCTCAAAAGCTGGATTAACCTCTAATCTGACAGTTTAAGGAAACGTGTTACATGAAAAACATATTCTGATGAAGACTGATTATAGAATACATGTTTTATACCTTTACTGTTTCAGATAAAGTTTGAGTGACATAAGATGTTTGTTTTATTTTTGAATTATTCATGTTAGAAAATGATTGCTGTTATTTTTCCTTCAATGAAGCATTATTTTCTTTGTTTTTGTTGAATCCAGGCAGCGTGTTAGATCTGGCTCTGGAAAGCCTGCTGCATCGCCTCCGTGGTCTGTGTGACAACATGGAACCCGAGACTTTCACAGACCATGAGCTGGTGTACCTTCTGAAAGGCCAGCAGGGAAATCCTTTTATCCTGCGTGCCCGGCGCGCCCTCTCCCACCCAAATGCTCCATGGCATCTGCGTTATCTCGGCCAACCTGAAGTGGGAGACAAAAACCGCTACGCCTTGGTACGCAACTGCGTTGACGTGGCTGCCTCTCACAGCCTTCCAGAGTTCCTGAACGAGATGGGCTTCCGCATGGACCACGAATTTGTCACCAGCGGCCACATATTTCGCAAAGGAGCTATGAAAGTGGTGGTTTGCAACGTTTCTCGGGTCCAGCTACCAGGAAACACGGAAAACACAGAGCGAATGTCAAATTCGCACCTAGTTGAACTGAGCGTGTTGGCCCCTGCTGGCCAGGACACGGTTTCAGAGGACATGCGCAGCTTTGCAGAGCAACTGAAACCTCTGATTCACCTGGAGAAGATTGACCCAAGCAAGCAGAGACATTAGAAGTAGAATTCAGACTAACATGGACTCATTTAATGTAGCTACTTTTGTTTAATTGTTTGTTTTTTATCTTAATAGAAAATAAAATACTGCTCAACTTTTATTCGAGAGTTTTATTTGTTTTTGAATTTGTTTCACTATCTAAAAAATGCTTCATTTATTCCTCATGTTGATGAAAATTATAGTGTATTAACAGCTAAAGCTATTTATTCAAAGAACCTTTTAATGCTTTACTGAATAAGAGGTGGTTTTTGCTGTGGACGTTTTTCTTTCCGTCCACTAGGGGTCTCTCTTTCTCTTGTCTTTGCCTTGATTGGAACAAATTGAATGCTACCTCTCATCATCTACTGGAGCTGTGGTTGCCATGGAAATAATTAGCTGCGAGATCTGCACATCTTTTACCTCATTCTAATTAGCTTTCTCAATTGCTTAATGATACATAGACCTGTGAAAGCCTTCCTTTCTTTCCCTCAACAAAAGCATTGATTTTCGCTCCCTGCCCCTCTCGTTTCCACTGTTAACCCATTAGTGCCCCTTTTTCATGGGAAATTGAACTGGAACCATTACACATGAAAGCTCCACAGCTGCCTTGGGTCCTTAACTGTTCACGATGAAATTGGAAGAAGAAAAAAAAGAGGGCTGTATACTAGTGTGTCAACATTATGGCCAATTGCCTGCAGAGATGGAAGTAACTAATGCACATCCTGTCAGTTATGATAATAATGTTGGCAAAAAAGACATGAGTGCTTCTAATAATACCCTTGCAGGAAGATGCATTTGCTGGAGTTGAAATCTAAAGTGACCATGTGCATGTCTGAGAGGAGAGCTCCAGGGCCGATGGCTGTCTCTGCATGTTGACCTACCTGCATATCAAGGCTGATGAGGACGAGCTCACTGAGGTGGAAAGGTGAGGTGACATAGTTTCCGCATGTTTTTTTTTCTTTGCACATTGAGCATCGCTTTTAAACAACGTTTCTGGAGATTTTGTTTATTTTTGATCACAAACTGGATCTGTGCGTGATTGCATCTAATTTTAGGTTTGCCCACTTGTTAGACAAAGTTTCCTCTCTGTGAGTCTGGGCTATCTGATGGAGACAGATTTATGTTCCAACAACCAGAAGCAAACTACTGGCCCTTAGGACTAAAGCATGATGTTTCAGCTCTGAGTGAATTATGTATTAAAGAGGCAGATGCCTCCTTGCCTAAGGCTTTATGTGTCCAGCATGGATACGCTACAGTCTACTGGCTTTCTTCCACTTAAAAGTTGTGTTTAGCACAGTGCTCTGTGGTGATGAGCTGGAGTCCCACTACACCTCCACTCTGCGATGCCTGGAGAGCGCAGGCATAGCTAGGCTAATCAGTGTCTTGGCATCAAGCCTGCTTGGCTTTGTGGATGTTGCCAACCACTGACTAACCCAAGTGAAAGACTCAGCTCTGCTGAAGACAATTTGGTGTGCTGCAGAGAAGAAATCAGGAGAAACCTTCCTTAAGGTTGAACAGGATTAGCTTGGCAATACATACACTTAAAATAATAAGTCCACATGAATAAGTATGTGTTAGAGCTACTACACTCTAAGAAATGAAATGTTAAATTTATGTAAATAAAAGTACATGTATGTTGCTCTTTACAATTAAGCAACTAGGTTTAGTGGAACCAGCAAAGTCAACTTTTCATTTCTCAGAACATGTGCAAAATAAAATGCACTTAAAGCAACAGTGGATAATTTTTCCCGTTTCTCCTTCCTACTGGTTGAAAGCAGAATTACAGCTGCCGTAAACAACCCTGCTGCAGCCTGCTGTAGCTAGTGATAACAACAAGCTAACGTTAACACAAACCAACTGATACTAAATAAGCTACGACGTAAAAAGATTGTTGGACAAAAAAAGTGTCTTACAAGCCCAGTCACAACAAAGTTAGGTCATCATCAGTCCGTGGTTTCATAGCCTTTATTTAAAAAAATGCATGTGTGAATCAACAGATTGACACTTGTGGAAGGTCAGCTGACCACGATGTAAATCCCTGCTAGCTAGCTCAAACAAGTGTAGGCCGCGTTTATGATCACTCTGGACTTAGCTCTTTGCTTCACCTCCACCCATTAGTCTCTTACGTTTACTGCCAGGCTCTGCCATGATGGGAACAAAAAGGAAGAAGCAAAACTCTTCTTACTGCTTCCTGACAAACTGAAAAAGCTAGCTGCTAGCCTTTATATTAGCTACCAGCTCAGTAAATGGCTATTATTATAAAGCAGGTTGAGACCTCCCACTAGTGTACCTATCAGAATCACTAAACTGTTAAGTGGTAAGAAGACCGCTACAGATCAGAGTCAACTTGATTGTAAGACGATGTTCAGTATGAAGTTGCTCAAGTTTGTGGCTCAAGAATCACTGAAACCAGTTTGAAAGTAATAAAATTAAGTGTTAAAATCTTGTCAGGTTGCTTTAAAGGTGTGGAACACTGAAAAAATTATTTTTGATTATTATGGTTCTCTCTGAGTTTTTCATGCAGATTAAACATGAAAATAGTCTCCTATGCCTATTTCCTGTATTAGCTTCTTATAGAAAATAGTCGGTGAAACTCTAGGATGTGAAAAGCCTGACAGAACTACGTCACACTGTCACTAAGCATTCATGGACTCACCCATTTTGGCTCGGGACGAGGAAGGCTGTTGTTGGTTTAGCGTCCCGGAAACAACGGAGAACGTCTCGTCAAGTAGAAGCTAACTGTTAGCATTAGCAGCTCTACCACACGGCAGAAATCCTTCGGCTTGTGTTATTTGTGGAGATTAAATGTTACTGAGCATTGCGGTGTGTGACGTCTGCGAAGCTGTAGCTTTTTAGCTGTAGTCAAAAATGGCGTCCGGAGAAGGTGCAAACATCTTTCGTTAGAAGAAAGGCTTTTATCGCTTCTTTTTGTTATGGTTTTAAAGACATGTTCAAGTCAGTTAGAACAGAGGAAAGAGCCGCAGCGAACTCCGCCTCAGTTGCCATGTTTGTGAGAAACAGCGTTGCGGTGAGTGACGTACGCTGCTCAGCACTGATTGGCTCGGTTAGAATTCTCAGGGGGCGGGGTTATTTCAATAGGACCCTTGCTTCCCATAAGGACGCATGGGGCTGGCTGGTCAGGCTACTTTCAGTGCAATCAGTTTGCATGCTTTTAAGTTGAACAAATCAGATTTTACAGTGTAGATAATCAAAATTCTTTGATTGTGATCAGAAACCTTTCAGTGTCTGATCAGACAAGAGCTAGTCTCAGTTTTATTCACTCTTGAGATAAGAGCCCTTTTACTTTCCACAATCTCAACCGCCTTCCACGATAATTGGTGATATTTTAGAATATATTTTCGTGCATTAAATGAGTGAATATGTTTTATTTCAAAAGGGCACAATTTCCATCGGGATGGTCTTGATTGTTATTTTTTTTAATTTTTAGACTTTCTGAAGGTTTGTTTTGCTTTTCCACTCACTTTTAGTCGGTATTTGACTGTTTTGAGGATTTTTTTTCCTCTGTCACTATTTCAGAAACAAAAAGATCACGGGGGAATCAGAATACAGTGGCATTTGAAAAACTTTAGATAAATTTGCTCATGAGGAGTTTTTTTTCTAAGGGAATGTTGATCTTTAAACCTGTTTCACATTTTCCTTTGTTTTCCTCTCTTTGTGCATTTTTCAGAATGTAATTAACCAGCCAACGTGTATTCTGTTTGGACCTCTGAATGTCATCACTTCCACGTATATTGTTGCCATTTCACAAATGCGGCCTTCATTAAAGCTCTTCAGTCATTTTTACATTCTCTGAGCATCATTTTCACAGTTGTTCCAGGCGTTAGCCTTCACTCTTTAAATCAGCCTAACTCTGGGCAAATGCCCTTAAAAGATGCGATCAATCACGTTTACAACGATCGCATTTGAGCCCTCTCTTTCAGGAGAGCAGGGGTGATTTTCTGTGAGGAGAACAAGAAGCGGAGCTCTTCTGGACAGACGTCCAAGAGTGTTCTCATGAAGTTTCCATTTACCTCCTGTCCAAACCCACACAGGGCAGAAACGGGGAGTACGGAACCATTTCTGAAGCATAATTAGCTTGTGAGGGATGTTCTAAGTGGCACGGTTACGAAATAAGAATGAGTCAGTTGGAAGAAAATAAAGAAAACCTTTCCCACTTCAAATAAAATTCCTAAGTATTTTGACTTGCTCACGTGAAGGCCTGCCTCGTTCAGACGTAGAACAGGCTGTTCCTGGGTCAGTTATTCAGATCTTTAGGGCAGCCATGCTGCCTCTGGAATGTCTGGTATGGGGACAGAGACGAAGCAGTCAGCCTAGAGGAGACAAAGCCTGTGTAGTTTTTATACTCCTGCTGCCTAAGTGTTCCTCCTCCTCCTCTGTCTGTCCTCTCCACTTCCTCAGAGTTTCGTCTCTCTTGAGATCCAGTCCCGCTGTGAGCCTCTGAATATGGTTGTTTGCCTTCTTGATCGTCATTTGGTTTCTTTTCACTTCCCGTGTAATCAAGGCACATTGTGTAATCTCAAGTGTCACCAAAATTATGGCTTTCATAAGTGTTACTTGAGAAGCATCTCGGCTGAGCCTCCAGTTGAAGAATGGAAGCTGCAGAACTCTGCAGACGCTGTTCTTTCACACGCGAGAACAGGAATATAACAAACGGTTGCAAACCAATCAGGTCCTTAATGAGCAATTTTGCTGGCAGTTTTAAAAAAATAATCAGTAAGATGACATTTTAATCATGTGATCCCATTAGTGTTTCACAATGTCATTGCGTGACACATTGTGTGACACATCCTCCCACGTTTTAAAACCCTCTATTTCCAACAAATTTCTCAACATCATTCCTGTCTGAATGCACAGTGTGGTTGTGTTATGCAATTTTTAAGTACAGGTTTCATCCATTGCACACTTGATGACACCAAATGGGAGGTGTTCTTGTGCACGTTTGGCCTCACTGGCACACGGGAGGTTTGTTGTTGTGCTTGTGAAAGTGTGGGCGTCATTTAAAAAAGGAGAAAATGTTTGTTTTATTGAGGAAACTTAATAATTTGATGGAAGTCCAGATTACAGGTCAACCGATATTGGTTTCGCTGTTGCCGATACTGATACAGATTATGTTCAGCCGAAAACTACATGCGCGGCCAATTTTCTAGACATTTTCCACCTAATTTAAGTGATAGAATGTCACTAATGCTGTCAGCTGAAGCGGTTGAACACTGAATTTAACCAAAAGTTACATTTCAATTGACTGCACTGCTCAGTGTTGAAAATCAGACATCTAATCAAAGTTAATTAATTCATTGACAGAGTAATAAAACAGGTAAAAAATATTTTGTTTGTTTTGAAACATTTCTGAGCATTTATTACGCAAATGTTAATCAGGAACATAAATATACATCTCAATTAAATTCTGCAGCAACACCGGGCTGACCAGGGATGTGCCTGACTTCAAATCACCCTTATTAAAGATGTGGTTCACTCATTTAATAAATACATCTGCAGTGGTCTCTAGTGGGACTGAATGCCTTGTAAGTCACACTCGGGGGGGGGGGGGGGGGGAAGCTGTGGTGCGCCTGTTTCAGGAACTAGAAGTGAGCCACATCGGCATGATTTGGAGTATTAGTTCCTGATTTGTGGACATCTCGCCTCTGATTGGCCAACAGCAACGTGACTCTTACACTGACTCTGTTTGCTAAAGGTTAGCTTCTACTAGCCAAAAAGGTCTCTGCTGTTTCCTGGAAGTTAAACCAACCACCTTTGCCGTTGTGATGGGGTGAGTCCATGAGTGTTAAGCTCGGCGTACACTGTGCGACTTTTTTACTCGTAGCACTCAGCTTCAGCTCAAACTGTACGACTTCCTCGCAGGGCAGATCTCACGAGTCATGTGCTCACACTGCACGACCCAGTTCTCGGATGCGACCTGACTGCTCACACTGTACGTCTGATAGCAACACGTCGGCCCTAAAAATATGCTAAAAATAGCAGTTTTTACACAACACGTCAGACTTTTTTGTCTTGTTTTGCCTGTTGTCCTTCGGGAGCGCTGCAGGAGGACACACAGGGATTTATGGGGGTTGGATGACGAAAATGAAATAAAGAAAGTAAATCTGTGTTTTGTGATCAGTTTAATTTGACATGAACACGACAAACACGCTTTCTTGACAATCTTTGTGAGTAAAAAAAATGTGTGGAAACAAAAACAAACAACGTGTGTTATTAGGGAAATAGCGGGCGAGCGGTGTTGATGCATGATTGCGCATGCGCCGTGAGCGGTTCTGATACTTTATGGGTCGCAGCTGCTCGCAGCGCCGCTTCAACAGTGCAATACCCTCACGAGGGACGAGCAAAATATCAAACACACCAGAAGTTTGTGCGAGCTCACGATTGCTGATCGGTAGCTGGTTAGGTGGTGTTAATCGCCTCTCGTAACCCCCTGTACACTACACGATGCTCGGCGCAAAACTCGCCCCGATCTCGTGGATTCTCGCACGAGTGGAAAATCGGCTCAAAAAAGTGAAAAAGTCGCACAGTGTACGCCCGGCTTTAGGTAACAGCGTGACGTAGATCTGCAGGCTTTTCTGAACTGAGCGCTTTTCTGTCTATTCTATCAGAAGCTACTGCAGGAGATAGGTGTAGGAGACTATTATCGCATTCAGCCAACTCAAAAGTGACTGATTTTAATAAAAAAAATGATAAAAAATGTTTCTTCAGTAATTTTAAGGAGGTAAATCAGCCGATGCTGATCTATTAAATAATATTAACATTAAATGTGTGAAATGAGGCTCAAAGCAGGACAAACTTGTGCAAATTAGCATCCATTAGAATAAAAATGACTTTATTCAACTGTTGATTTTAGATTTTGCTTACATCTGATCTGGATTGAGTTTGCCTTTGAGACAAATGACATCTGGGATCTTTTATTTCCCTCTTTTCTACATGGTTGTCTTTTCATTATGACCCCTGAAAAGCCCCACTTCACACTTCTCCCAGTTTGAAAATCTAGGGTTATCTAATCCCATTTAATCTGCACTAAATCTGTCTAATTGACAGAGAAAATTACACCCACGGAGGTATGTCCTGCGTATAATAAGCTGAGGTGAAACTTCTCCCTGGAGGGCATTTTTGGACGACGCATGTGCGGGACAATTAGTTACGAGCGCGGGTTTTTATTCTGGACCAAAAAAGAAGCACGTGACGAGTTGTGCAGGAATCTCTGCTCTTGTGGGATTTTCACATTGTCTTGTTTTTATCACGGTTTTACGAGCCTGGCACACAAAGCGCCATGACGCGTCACTAAAATAAAGAAGAGGGATCATTATGACGAGTTCTGCTTTAAAAATGATAGAAACGAGAAAGTGTGCGCGCGCCTGCGTGTGCGTACGCGCGCGCGCGCGTGTGTCAGGGATTTCGCTGTAATCATGTTCGGAGACCATTGATTCCGTGAACTCACTCCAATTGGCAGCATCTCTACTATACAGCGCCGGCGCGTCATTCTCGGCTCACGTCAATGGAACGAGTTGTAACCAAATGAGAACATGTGTGGCATCTGAGAGAGAGAGAGAGAGAGAGAGAGAGAGAGAGAGAGAGAGAGAGAGAGAGAGAGAGAGAGAGAGAGAGAGAGAGAGAGAGAGAGAGAGAGAGAGAGAGAGAGAGAGAGAGAGAGACAGTTTTATCATCCTGACAACTGGATACGAGATTTGATTGCTGCATGGGCTTTTTAATTTTTCTTCTTTATTTATATATTTTTGAACCTAGGCAGGAGAAATGATCGATTCGTCACGTGCACGCGCCTCTTCATTATAATTGCAGACAGTTGGGTGCTGTTAAGGCTGAATGGACTTGAATATGTCGCTGCCAGCGTAATCCGCGCAGAGTGGAAGATTTAATAATTCACGGTAATCACGCGTTATCGCCTCGGTGGATGCTCTCTGCGCAGCTCTGGTGATCTTTTTCCTTTTTCCCCCCTTCCCCCTGTTCTTTCCCTGGTTTTTCCCGTTGTCTCCTGGAGGATTTATCGACGGCTGCTCCTTATCTGAAATATCATCTGTTGCTGCAACTGGATTGAAGAGCACCCCCTCCCCTCCTCCAGTGACTGAGGTTTCGTGCGTGAGGAGCGTTTCCCCGTCTCTCATTAATCCACTCCGGTTAAAATGGACCAGAAATTGTTATTACTTTTATTACTTCTGCTATCTCTGCACGCGAGGCTGTGATTCGGCGTTCATTCATCATGATTGCCCCACTCTGCTGAATTGGCTCCATTGATTCTGACTGAGCTGAACGGGCGCGATACGAGGCAAATTCCAGCGCGAGGTGCTGCTGAAGACAGTTTATTTTATTTTTTAATAATTTTTATTTTGCCTCTATTATTTTATTTTCAACTCGAGGATAAATGTTGATGATGGAGGAGGACGAATTGGACGCTCATCAGGTTGATTCGGATTTCGAGCCGCAGAGCCGGCCTCGCTCCTGCACCTGGCCGCTGCCGTGTCCGGAGGATTTCCCCGGTGGACACGAGGTGAGCGGAGGGCTCCCGCTGGCCAGCATCAAAGTGGAACCGGAGGACGTGCCGGCGTGCATAGCCGGACTCGTGGGCGGAACGCCGGCGGAGCTGAAGCATCCAGCCGGCGCCCCGGTACCCACACCGGCGACGCACCCATGCTTGGCCGGCGCGGCGCTGGATGTGACCGGATCCCTGCGCAAAGCCAAATCCTCGCGGCGGAACGCGTGGGGGAACCAGTCCTACGCGGATCTCATCACCCGCGCCATCGAGAGCACCCCGGACAAGAGGCTCACCCTGTCACAGATATACGACTGGATGGTCCGTTATGTCCCCTACTTCAAGGATAAAGGCGACAGCAACAGCTCAGCTGGCTGGAAGGTAAGAGACGGACCCTCACGAGCCCTGGGCTTTGACGTGTTCATCAACGCTAATAGCCTATTGATTATTATTCCCTGAACCAATATTCTCTCAAGCCCTCGTGCGTTACACATGTAAGCGCGGGATTCCGTGTCAGTTACGCATGACTGGTGCCATGCCTTATCTTGTCTTAGTTTATTACTGCCGTCTGTCACTAATAGATCTCTGATGACAGAAAGGCAGAGACCCAAGACTCGTGCGAGGAGCTTCTGTTATCCTAACGTGACTGATGTTAATAAAAAGGACCAAGGGTTTGGAAAAAGCGCACAAAATCCTCCATCAGAATCACTTTTAATGTCTGCATGTAAATGCATCACCTCTTTCGTCACTTTTAAAAAATGCAAGTGTGACTCAACAGATTGACACTTGTGGAAGGTCAGCTGTCCACACGATGTAAATATTCACAACTGACCACATCCATACTGCCTGGCCGGCTGGATGAGAGCCTAACCTCCTGGACATGTGCCCATGTTACCAGCCTCCTCTTGTTTCTATTCATAGCCATCTGAGGACTGTGTGCGTGTGTGCGTGCGTGTGTGTGTGTGTGTGTGTGTGTGTAGTGGGATCAGAGGGGCAGCAGTGCTTGGCCCCAGCCTTTAGAGTTGATGTTTCTCAAGTGAAATCTTTTCCTTAAATATTAAAAAAAAAAGAAAATCAGCCAGGATTTTTCATGGTTGTTAATTTTTCCTGCTCAGTTTGTGAGATTAAAAAAAATCTTGTCTCAGGTGCGTCTGAGTCTTTTAATCACACACCTTAAGAGTGACACTTTAAACGTGTCCCTTTTAAACTCAGCTGACTGTTGAGGTGTGCCTCCAGGTTTCATTAGCTCAGCGCTCACCCCTGCCATCTTCAACCACACGGGCCTCTTTACTTAAAGTCCCCTTCTACTATGTATGAAACTGCAAATTATGGCGGTAGTCTGAGCTTCTCGGCTATTTCGGTTTGCTGGCGAGACGCGTACCACTCAAGGTAATGAAGGGGATTAGGTAAGTCATTTAAAGGAGGTTTCCTTTAGTGTCAGTGGCCACAGGTGGAATGATACTGTAAACAAGTCCCTAAATGCATCTTTATAGTTAACATTTATAGGAAATATTCACACTTGGCTGCAAAGTAAAGCCTCATATCCAACACTGCCATGCTGCTGGATAAAGTTTGTCTTAATAAATAGGAAAAACGTTTAGTTTGCAGGACTTAGAATGCACAAAGAAGTCCCTTTAGTGTTGATTAAATGATTTGTGAACCATGACCTTTAAGCCACAATTTGCTCTAATTGCTATTGCACAAGCAGCCAATTAGCAGCAACCTTTGAAAAAGTTAAAATGAATTTCATCCCTTCAAATTCTACCTGTGCAAAAAAAAAAAAAAAAAAAAAAAAAAAGACAACAAATAAACAAACATGTCCCATTTTGTACATTCCAAGTCTGGCAATTATATTTGACAGCAACATTAGCAACTTGAGAAACACTCCTTGTGTCGTCTGGAACCTTTTCATCGCTGCCTTGCTTGAGCGAAAACATGCAACATGAATCTGTCTGCTTTTTTTTTCCATTTAAGGGAAAGATAAAAAAAAGAAAGAAGAGGGGAGTAAGAGAATTGTTGGTAAAACGCTCCAATGATGAAACAAAATGAAATTAGATGGAGCATCTTTGGAGTTTATTGCGAGTCTTGAAGGCAAAAGTTGGACTGAGGATGACGTAAAAGCAAAGACTGCGTTTTATTAAACCGTGGCCACGTTTCAACTCAGAGGCTCTTAAAAAAATCTGGAAAAAGTGGCTCTGGTTTCCGTTGGAGAGGATGTGATGCCGGCTTGTTGCTGACGGGGCCAGGGCACCTAGGCAGCATCGTTAGGATCCTATAAATACCAAACGGCTTTTGACTTCTAGGAAGGCAGGAGTATTCTAAGGTCACTGCTTTCTAATCAGCTTCTTACTGGAGGGGGAATAGGCAGAAGTGTGTTCTCCTGAACCTTGTTGCACTTTAGGATTTTAGTCACTGATGCTGTGAAGAAGTGGCAGCTTCGCTAACGTGGATTTCTCTGAAGCTGTAATCTGCGCTGAACCGTTGAAATGAGCTAGATCCTAAATCGCCAACTAACCTTGCACCCTCACTTCCCATTGAGTTGCATGATTCACTTGTGCGCACGTTTCCATGCATTTTGGCGTTCATGCTTGGGAGGAGCACATGTCAGTTGCAACAAAGCGTCAGGGTCGATGGCGCTCTGTGTGTCTTTCTGGGGGCCACTGCGCGGGGGAGGGGCTGTCTGCATCTATAGGCGTCTGTGTTTTAGCTCGCTGATTGGTCTGACAGCGTGCCACTGTGGTGAATGGAATACATAGTCTCCCTATTGGCTTCATAATGCCTGTAATGATGGAGTAGCACTTGATGTTGGGATTGCCCCGTAGGCGCCAACAAGTTCATTATCTTCCAGGGGGTTAGATGAGGCCATTGTTGCGCTGAGGGGGGGTTGCTTTATGGTATACGCCAGCGTGGAGGGGTAAAGGAATTCACAGGTTGCATTTAGCATATTAAAGTCGAGCTGTACGGTAAACGCTGCTAGAATATCGGCACGTTATGTCATCCTCGGGAGCAACTGCAGCCGCAAAGGAAAGAGGATTTTTCTTATAAGTGAAGATTTCCCTTCTGCATTGTTACAGATCCGAGGCTTTTTCTGGCACTCGGACCAGTTGGATCCCAGCGGATTGTGCAGCAGGTCAGCGAGAGTGCCAGGCAGCCGTTCAGACGCTTTAATCCAAAGCGACTAGACTGTTATTTATATATCGACTTTAGGGAGAGTTCTGCGCAGGGCCAGCAGGGCAAAAGGTCACTGGGGCTTCCTTTTAATGACAAAAGTCAGCCAGACCTTCAAGAGAGACAAAAATAAATACATAAATAAATAAAGAAAGAAAAAAAAAGTGGCAGCAACTGTGTCAGAGTTACAAAGAAAGACAAAATGCCTCCGGGGAAAGTTCGAGGAGAACAGTGAAGCTGTCAATAGACGTATGTCTCGTCTGGTTGTCTGTTAAAGCACGCAAACCCCTTTTTCACCGGTAGAAGTATTAATAAAAGGACAAGATCTTCTTTTTGTCTAAAGGATTTATGGGTAAAGAGGCAAACGGACTCTTGTAAAGCTGTCACGGTGATCTGGCAGTTTCAATAGACGTTAGGAATGAGGAACATTTGTGATAATTGAATTAAAGGAGGGCAAGTTTGGCCATACGCGGAGAAACGTGAGTGACGCACAAATGTGTCACGCGTTGGTGGTGGAGTAATCTGAGGGGACGAGTGTTCTCCGCCTTGGCTCAAAGTGAGACAGAAACATGCATACGCTCACTCGGGATGGGAGCACATGATGCATGCTGGACAGATTTATGGTGCAAGATTATCAACACCTCCTTTTACCTGGAGCCAATTTGGGTTCACGCGGTAAATTTCTCTTCAACTAGGGGTATCCGATGCCAAGAAGCCCATTCTCTGCCCCAGCAGCCTCCAGGCAGCCGTGACAATGAATTTCTCACTGAAATGATTAATGTACATGCAAATTACCAAAGTACGGGCATGCATTCAAATATGGGAGACAGCAATCAGGAGACTGATATGAAAAACAATTTTATTTTTGCCTTTGATATTACTTTAGTGACTATATCTCCTAGATACCCTTATCTCATTCCATCTCCCAGCGTTTTCTCTTGTGCAATATCTATTTATCCATCAGACATTCTATACATTTTTTCTGTCTAGTGGTTTTAGGCGCAAGGGCCAATTGAGGTGAGGAGTTGTTCCCAAAAGGAGCTGTGGCGTCAGGATTTTGAGCCTTAGCCATGATCCAGACTGCCTGGAGCAGCGCGCCTCACCTTATCTGGGAGAAATCCCCCATCTCACATCATCTCAGATATATTAGGATAGCAAAACTGAATTTTACCCCAGATAGGCTTCTCTCAGAGAGGTGAGTGACTTGGGAACATGAGATTGTCAAGTTTCAAAGTGGACACAGTTTAAATGTTAAACTTGTTGACTTGGTTCTTGTGTGACTTTCTCTCTGTGGCAAAGCAAAAAAGAAGTTTTCTTCGGGCTCGCTCACAGACATTCCCTGAAACCACGCAACACCAACGCATCCTTCAAACCACCCATGGAGGAACGCTCGGTTCTGGTGTGGCGTAAGAGGAGTGGGGGCTGACCATGAGGGGAGACAACTCTGTGGCATGGCTTCGCCACCCTAATTGTTTTGAAACCTGCCTGACTCGTGCTGATTGGTTCACAGGGAAGGTGTGGCTCGCTTTGTTAAACGCCTGTAGATTCTGAGCGAGGACAAAATGTGGCGTGCATTTCATTTTGAGGTCACCTTAGGCTTGACGCCATAGACATTCAATTCAGAAGGGAAGTCCTTGAGTGTTACGCCACTGCTGGATGATGAAAACAGCTCATTTCCTTGAAACTGACTCGAAGAAACCAGAGAAGCTCAGTTTATTAGAAGACGTGTGGTTCAGAACTAGTACCACATCACTGTAAAGCAGGAGGGAAATTCCTCCTGCTCGTGTCTGGTTACCCCACCCGCCACATTCTGATGACAGCAGCATCCCTGTGACTTCTTCTAGTGCTATCATTCCTTATGTAATCTCAGCTCACTCTGCTTTTTAAGAGTTTGAGGACACAAATAAACATAGTACTTGCAAGTTGTAAAAAGATGCAATCGATTTATTTGCATCTGATAAACAAAGTGTCTCAGGCTGCTATTCCTGCTGTATAATGTGATATTCCATTTTTAAAGGTGTGGAACATTGAAAAATAGTCTCCTACACCTATCTCCTGCATTAGCTTCTTATAGAAAATAGTCGGTGAAACTCTAGGGTTAGAAAAGCCTGACAGATCTACGTCACACTGTCACTTAACATTCATGGACTCGCCCATCTTGACTCGCGACGGGGAAGGTTGTTGTTGGTTCAGCATCCAGGAATCACCAGACA